TTGTTCTCTAAATACATTCTTTGATTCTAAATATTGCTTGGTGTCTTTCAATAAAGTTCTAATATTTTATTTTGCCCCATTTCATCACCATCAAGAGCTTTTGAGGGTCACCGTTTATCATCTGCTTATATTTTACATTTCCTTTAGAAATTCAAACATATTTTCTCCAAAAGGCGTTGATTTTTGGACTACAGGACTACAACCGCTAAGACTACGACCGCAAATTTGTTCTGACCAATCCAAATCATAATGTGATAACATCACTTCCGCAAGCTTCATGTTCAGCCAATCAACTACTTTGATGTCATCGGCAGTCGAAGGACCCCGAGCCGATCCTGCACCCGAGCAGATCCTGTACCGACACGGCAAATCAGCGTAACATTACCTCAACAGTGTGTTTTATAAACACGCCATGCTGGCATGGCGTTGTGCGAACTTTGTTGCATTTGTTGCGCCTCGCTTGGTAGTAATATTGCGGTAATTGTCTGTCCTATAAACAGCCGTTGCACTTTGGCACAACAGAGGAAGATGGCAAATGACGTAGCAATTGTGCGGCGACCCCTGACCGGAAAGAGTATATAAACCACGTAAACATGGGAAAGTTGGTAAACATCCAGCGGACATGGCTAATTGGAGTGATGAGATCTGTGAACTTCTGTCTTTACGAGCAGAGGCAGAAGTAGCCAGACAATTCCCAGGATCTGTGACGGACAGCCACCTCTCTGATGTAGCTGATCACCTGAAGCCTTTAAGAGTCTGGCTTGTTTTCAACAGCTGAAAAGCAGCTTCATCACAACTGTACCTGGAACCTGGACAACCGAAGCCTGCATTGCAGTTAACCTGCTTTATTCCCCCCAAATTGTTTGAGTTGCAATCGAAAACATCCACAAAAGGCTTGTGCGTTTGAAGGTTTATAGTTCTAATAAAACTGTATTGCTCTCTTGGATTGCCTGAGCATTTCGTGGTCCTTTTGTAAAAAGGGCTTCTGTTGAATCTGGTCAACTGAACTCGCCCACCCAAAATAATGTATGACTGACTTTGTGAAGACTTCAGATAAGCTCACAACATAAGCTATAAAGGCTTATGTATTTAAAAACAAATCATGTTTTACAGATGCCTCTATGCTCGGTCATTATATCCTGCATGTAGCCTCTGACTGAAGACGCTTGTTTAGTCTTGTGTCTCTGGTTTTTCTCTAGCTGCCTCTTTACCTGAATGCCAGAAAAAAACAGGCAAGAGGGGGAGGTGAGGGGAGCACCAGCATCTCCTGAAGTGATTCACAGAACACAGGTGAATGTTCACAAGTGATTAAGAATGCTAGGTCAAAACAACTGTGCCAAATGGCAGCTCTCTTGTAGATCGGGGGGTGGGGGGGGGGGGGGGTGGGGGCTCTCTGGGAGTTCTTATGTTAATTATCCAGAGTGATGCATCAACTGGGACCTTTCAGGTCATTTCTAAGGTCACTTTTGATTTTTCAGTAAACTTATGTCTCCAAACTGTGGCTGTACGTCTGGTCATATTTTTTACTTGTGTTAAAATCCAAATATATTCAGTAACTTGTGACTTACAAATAATACAATTCTCCTCAGACACCACCAGACTGTAGTAGATTAGTCCCAGACTAAAATCTGGACCCACAGAGGAAATGTAGGTAGGCATCCAATAACAGAAGGTTCATATCAGTCAGTAAAGAGTTATGGAAACTCTTAACTCTGTCAGTGAGAAGAATTGAAACACACCAGCAGAGACCGCTAATGCTGCTATGCTAATGTAATACCAAGGTATCCACCTTAAAGCAACACAAAACCTAATAAGATTTTGCTTTCAAACTGGTTTCATGGTTCTTCAGTCGTGTTTTGTAGCACTCTGCTGTCCAAAAAGTGCACATAACAGTTTTGTCGTTTGGTTAGGAACACTTGGAGGCCTCAATCTGCTTCATGGCAATAGCCATTGTCTGTGGCAGTAGCTAATATAAGGCAATTAACTTTTCATTTAGTCAGCCATCAATAAAAAGCACAAGAAGAAGAATTTAGCTTTTTGTGTTAGCATCATGGCAGACCCAGGAAGTAAAAGTAGGAGAGTTATGTATTTGGAGACAATTAAAGCAAAGAGAAACATTGGCACAGCAAGGTCTACACTTGTTTGAAGGAGCTAACGGAGGCTATGCAACCACGGACTGATGGTGGCCTGACTTTGTTGCTCCTGGACTTAATAATAAATGTTGTCTTTTTACTTTGTGACTTATGTAGTATCAGTTGGTTTGTGTTAGCATTAGCTCATTGTTAGCACAAGCTACAGCAGAATGTGGCGGGGTTGTCCTGCTTTCATCCAGTAAGACAGAGGAAGCAAGAAACAACTGTAGTGTTGATTATGAAAACTAAGCCAGATTTCAAAATAAAATAAGTTCTTAAATTTTCCATCAACCTCACATGAACCAAAGGGGAACGCCTGTTTGGCCGGTCATGCCTGAGGTCTGCGAAATTAGCCCTGCAATGACTACAAATGCTGATCCTGATTTATCTACAATCCCTCTGCCCATAAATCCAGATGGATGATCGAGACTTTTATCGAGACCCCCCCCCCCCCCCCCCCCCCAGCCCCCCAGCCCCCCATCGTCGGTCACTCTGAGCCTGCCTTGAGGTGAAAGGTCCTGATAAGGCAGTAAAAGTAAAGCAGGAAATATACAACATCCTCTGTGATGTAGGCTCAAAAACAACTCAAAACACACACACATACACACACACACACACACACACACACACACACACACACACACACACACACACACACACACACACGTTTAGTTTGTGCTCTTTGGATCTTCTCATTAAAATGTATGTGCCTCTTCAAAGCACGAACAACAATGATGCCATCTGGTGCTAGAGGCTGAGCGTACACGTGCACACCCTCCATGTGCACATGTATAAAATACCTTTACCTATCTTTGACAGTAATTACGCTCAAACACAGCCGTTACTCTTCTTCTACAGAATAAATATACACTGTAAGAGAAATGAGTCTTTGTTTTCATGCTTAGGTGGTTCCTCTCAATGCAAAAATCACCCAACAACAGACCGCTCTCATCTCCACAACGACTGCATTTCAATGGCAAACATTACTGGGCAGCAGTAGCTCAACAGGTTGAGCGGGTTGTCCAGTAATCGGAAGGTTGCAGGTTCGATCCCGGCTCGAAAATTCTGCTGTTGTGTCCTTGGGGACACTTAACCAAGACACTTAACCCACCTTGCCTGCTGGTGGTGGTCGGAGGGACCGGTGGCGCCCGTTCTTGGCAGCCTCGCCTCTGTCAGTGTGCCCCAGGGTAGCTGTGGCTACATTGTAGCTCATCACCATCAGTGTGTGAATGTGGCCTGTAGTGTAAAGTGCTTTGGAGTCCTTACTCTGAGAGGCGCTATACAAGTGCGGGTCATATTTAGATTCACAAGTGCTGTGTATTGTCTAAAGGTTCGTCAAAGCTTAATATTCACAGGAAAGCACTGAGTGTACAAGGTGTTGGAGAAAGTGTGTTTTAACAGTTTAAGGGTCCAGACAGTCCACGTAGGTCCTTGGGTCTTGCACTAAATGTCAAAATTCTGAAAATAAATCAATAAATTAATTATATATAAGTATATGTTCCTACACTTCCCATCTACGTATATATACGTGTATACTTTTATACTTGTCCTCTGTCAGTGAGCCCCAGGGCCACTGTGGCTAGCTAATCACCATCAGTGTGTGAATGTGTGTGAGTCATTCATCATTTATGGTTTAACACGAGACAGGTCACCAACCCTGCATCTGTCTAGGTATGTCCTCAAATGCTCGTGCACGCTCTCTGATTCACATCTTTACGTAAGTCGATGTCTAATTCTGTTGATTAATGCTGAGCAGTGCTCAACTCAAACTGCATGGGGCGCTGTGGAACGCGGACGAGATTGGCAAAAAAGAAAGATGTATAGCCTGTATTATATCACAAACAATACAGGATAAGACAATAACCTGATTTATACGTCTCCGTCTGCGTCGTTGCTGAGACTCGCAACGTCATTATCCGTCGGTGCAAGGGCTCTTCGACAGGCTCACAGAGGGTGACGGAGGTATGACCAAAGTTTTAAGCATCCATCGAAAGTGACAGAATCCACAAGCTTGTGATTGGTCAGGATGCCACTTCCTGTAAATTCATCAGCAGCACCGCTGTAGCTCCGTTAAGAAGTAAACAGGTATTTAGCAGCAGACCCAGAACAGATTGCAGGACTCATCGTGGAAGAAGTCCAAAAATATTAACATTTATTCACCCGTGTTGTACAAAATATAAAGCTAACGTGGACGGAAACGACGGGGAACGTGGGTTTAGAGGTGGCGACCGCATGAAGAGGTGGAGGAGGATGAAGGACAAGTTTGTCCGTGTTATAAAGTCTCTGAAATACATAAACGCATTAGTAAATACATAAACATGTTAGTAAATACACTATCTGGGACACGAGTGCTATGGTGGCAGGATACCACAGAACAGCGCTACGCCCTCTGTTGTCCTGGCGGGGAATTGCTTTACAACAGTTTGCCTGTGAAGTTGGCGTGTGAAAACCTTGTTTCTTTGTGTGGTCTCTCTGCTGCAGAGCTCACTGAGAAGTATAAATCAGGCTTATCCATGGACTTCTAAAAACCATGCATGATCACTGAAAAAGGGAAAACTCCAGATAGTATTTAGATGACAGCAGGTCATTCCTGAATTTAAACTCCTTTCTTGTAATGAAAAAAGAAAATTTGGCAGCAATGTTACTGATCCTGGTCCATTACCCAAAAACCTTAAAAACCATGAAGATAATGTTTTCTTGTAGGCCTCCATTAGGGGGCCTGGTTTGAAACAAAAAGAGGAAAAATGTCAACTTTGATGGAATTATACAAAGTGTTTTATTTTCTGAGACATGATCCAGAAATGTAAAAGTTAGCACTGAAGCTGGTTCTGAAGCTGTGTCAAACAATGCTTTCCATGTCAGGCCTACCTTTGACAGAGGTGTTTGGTGGAGGTCCCTCAATACGCAGGTTCCACGGTGGGTCTCCCTGGTTGGCGAAGTCCCTCATCTTCAGGTAGCTGATGGTGAGCCGTATGATTGAGGCCTTGTCTAGCTGGCTGGTGATGGCGCCTGGCAGGGGCAGCATCTTGGCTAGTTCATAAAATTCAAAGTTTTCTTTCCCCCGCCGTGACCTTGCTGCATCCCTTGACTTCTCTTTCCGAAGGGCCTGCAGCCTGGATGTACAGCAAAGGACAAAAGGATGTAAGAAATCTGATTATGAAGATGGCATGCCAAATATAATTCATCGTAGAAGCATCATAACCTCTAGACCATAAACTGTTACCTGCAACAACCTGCAACGGACAAATGCACTAAGACTTTACAAAAGGGAAACAAACATGCAAATGTTTCGAATCAGGTTTAATGCCCGTTGCTACACTCACAGGGAACTGGTTTTGGGGTTTGTGCAGGAGACCAGAAACATTTGAGCATCTGTAGATGGTGTGAGAAAGAGGAGCAGCATGGCAAAGCATACGTGAATATGTGGAGTCTTTGTTGGGGGGGTGCTCAGACCCACAGATCAGCCTGCCTGCCTGAAATTAATTATCAACCAATTATCTTATGTACACCAAAAATAGAACTTGTGCAAAGTTTCATACTTTAATATGTTTACATTGTCAGTCAGATGTGTCCTTTGTGCTTTGGTGACGCGGAGAGACAAGAAATAGTTTGGTTTCTTTTCTGCTTTTGTAGTATTTGTCAAATAGCCCTCCTCTGGTTACTAGCCCTAACTACCACACTCTAACCAACCAACCAGTCCCCCCGTTTGGGGCACATGCCCTCACCAGGACCTAACCATGTCTCATTGCATCTTACACACCACAGCTCAGATCAATGGGCTGGATGTTGACAGCCTCTTGGAACAACCATCTGCAAACACACTTCCCATGAAGCCAGCTGCTCAAGGTTGGACCTGATCTCAGGTCAGCGGGACTCTTTTGGATTCCAAACCAAACTCTGCTGAGCTACGAGCCGTGGAGGGATGCCATTGAGAAACCTAACCCTGTTCGTTATCACTCGTTGGTTTGGTTAAGAACCAACAAACAATCATGAAGGTTTAGATAGAACCATCTGGACTTTTCTTGTTTTCCTTAAAGACATTTTGTTTCTCACACAAGAAGCTTCTTCAGTCCTGAAACTTGGTTGGGAGTAGGATTGGATTGCTGGGGAACTGTTAGGATCATCAGCACCAACGACTCAAACAAGGAGCTGAGCAGAGGAAGGTGTCAGTGACTCATTTGACATTCGTGACCTCATTAGTGATGGCAATGGCCCCAGCAGCTACTCACATTGCCCTGTAAGCATCTTTGCTTCATACCACACCTCATAAGCCTCCTACTCCCAGTCTCAGAAATGAAAACACTTCTTGGATGAGAAGTGAAACATCTTCAAGAAAAGGAAGAAAATTTTAGTTGTTTCCAGCTAAACGTTGAAGATGATCATGCCCTGGATGACTGAGCATCTACACAAACAAACCACAAGGAAGCAGAGTCTGTATGTCTACGTTTTACAGGACCAAACAACTTGTGTGATTTAAAACCAAAACTCTCACGTACTTATACCACAATATCTGTCTCTCCAGTATTCCAATTCTTCATAGTCCAAAACTAGAATTGTAGTCCAAGCACCATCCAGTGCTCTTCACCTGAATGAGCCTGCAGAAAACCTCCTGGTCCATGTTGTAGGACGGAAGCCAACATAGCCGGATTCAAATACGTGTAATTGGGGCTGTGGAGCATCTCGTGCCACAAGGGCAGCCTGTTGTCAGGCGGGGGCAGGGAGGTGATGGGAGAGCGAACTCCGGGGTCATAACACGTGGCTGCAAAACCCAGACCCTCTCCACCGGACAGCAAAAACTGTCAGCAGCATTTAAAGGACAAGCGAAACCAAGCAGACAGGAAAACACACACAAAAAAGTTTAAAAATATGCTGCTGTTTGCTGCTTTTATTGGTCTGATTTTATAACCATTACTGAAGATAGAGCCAAAAACCTTCAGGCAATATAAACTACAGCCTCAGGAGAGCAGTGGGCTGTGTTATTACTGTATAATAACACGTTCAACCATTTCTCGGAAATCGTTTTTGGCTTTTGTGGTTTTATTCTAGAAATAAGTGGATGATTGGGTTTTTAAGTTTTAGCTTTTGTTTTGATGCTTCCTGTTATTTATTTTTCTCAAAAGAGCATCTAATGTTGTGATTCAATAATTAAACCATAATATGACCTTATGACCTCACACCAAAATGTTTGGCTAGTTGTAACACATCCTCATCTTGTTGACTACTTTTATTTTACCTTTGATTAACCAGAAAATACAGTTTAAGAGCTCTATCGTCAGTGTCCTGACCAACACTTATTTATGTAATGATTTACATATAGATAACATTTTAAAAATGATCGATCTGATTGGCTAAGAAAAGCTCTAAGTTGAGTTGTGCCAAATGTATCCATATTCAGACTCTTCTGAGGCTGGTAGGTGTGAGCCGTGAAGCTTAGTTCATGCTTCTCTGTCTGCGTCAGTACGGAGACATGCAACGCCTTTATCCATCTGCATCGGTACGGAGACGCGCTCCGCATTTATCCGTCTGCGTCAGTACGGAGACGCGCTCCGCATTTATCCGTCTGTGTCGGTACGGAGACACGCAACGCCTTTATCCATCTGCATCGGTACGGAGATGCGCTCCACATTTATCCGTCTGCGTCAGTACGGAGACACGCTCTGCATTTATCCGTCTGCGTCGGTACGGAGACGCGCTCCGCATTTATCCGTCTGTGTCGGTACGGAGACACGCAACGCCTTTATCCATCTGCATCGGTACGGAGACACACGACGCATTTATCCGTCTGCGTCAGTACGGAGACACGCTCCGCATTTATCCGTCTGCGTCAGTACGGAGACATGCTCCGCATTTATCCGTCTGCGTCGGTACGGAGACACACTCCGCATTTATCCGTCTGCGTCAGTATGGAGACACTCCGCATTTATCCGTCTGCGTCGGTACGGAGACACGCAACGCCTTTATCCATCTGCATCGGTACGGAGATGCGCTCCGCATTTATCCGTCTGCGTCAGTACGGAGACACGCAACGCCTTTATCCATCTGCATCGGTACGGAGATGCGCTCCGCATTTATCCGTCTGCGTCAGTACGGAGACACGCAACACCTTTATCCGTCTGCATCGGTACAGAGACACACGACGCATTTATCCGTCTGCGTCGGTACGGAGATTTGTGCCAACTTTATCCGTCGTTGCAAGGGCTCTCCCAGAGGTTCACAAGGACGGGCGGAGTCCAGCCCACTCTTCTAAACATCTGTCCAACTAGACAGAGACTGGAAGCTTGTGATTGGCTGGGACGCCGCATCCTCTAAATTCATCAACAGCACTGCGTATTTCCCCTCAAAAAAATAAAGAGAACCAAAAAATCTAGCGACAGACACGGAGCAGCTTCAAGAATTTCTTGCGGAAAACACTGAAAGTACAAATGTTTCATTCTCTCGTGACTGAAGGAGTAAAAAGATAAGCAGCAAGTGTTTTATTCGTGGATGGAAATGACAGCAAACCAGGGTTTAGATGTACTGAGCACATGAGAAGGTGGAGGAGAATGGAGGACAAAAGTTGAAAAGTCTCTGAAATACAAAAACACAATAGTGACTGCACTATCTCGGACTGGGTACAGGACAGAGTGCCCCAGAACAGCGCTGCGCCCTCTGGTGTCCTAGTGGGGAACTGCTTTGCAGCGCTCTGCAAGTGATGGAGAAGTCTGAAGGCAAAACGTCTCCACCCCCACGTGGGAAGTGTCTCCGTCGTGGAGCTGACGCAAAAGCACAAATGAGTTTCGAGTCAATAATCACTGTAGAGCAGGTTTCGTTGAAACAAAACTAATATTTAAACAAGACCTGTGTTTTCATCATTTAGAAACAAACTGATCTAATTAAAATGAAAATAAAATCGCGTTACTGAAACTTTCATTAGAGTAATGCTGCCATTGGCGACTGTCGTCAATGACGTTTTTTAAACTTGAGCGTAAACATCACAGCTCTACCGTTGATCTTCATCTGTGCGTGTCACATGTCACATGATCATGAAGCAGACAATCCATATTTTAGGACGTCGTTTTGGGACTTACAGATACAAGAAGTGAGTCTACTCTGTCTTTGGGTAGTTTTGGTGTTTACGTGGTCAGAGAGTACAATGTTCTGTGACTCTTCAGAAAACAGTAAAACTGCTCAAAATCGCTTGAAGTCAGGGGCTTTCTGATCAAGAAACAGCTGGCAGTTAATGAGTTAAGCTAGAAAAATAAATGAACGGAGCGGGCTGCACAGTGGTTAGCGCTGCTGCCTTGCAGCAAGAAGGTCCTGGGTTCAAATCCCAACCTGGGGTCTTTTGCAAGGTGTTTGCATGCTCTCCCTACGTGGGCTCCCTCTGAATGCTCCGGCTTCCAGCGTCAGATTGATTGGTTTCTCTAAATTGTCTTTAGGCGTGTGTGTGTGTGTGTGTGTGTGTGTGTGTGCGCGTGTGTGTGCGCGTGTGTGTGTGTGTGTGTGTGTGTGTGTGTGTGTGTGTGCGTGTGTGCGTGTGGGCGTGCGGGTGTGCGGGTGTGCGTGTGTGTGTGTGTGTGTGTGTGTGTGTGTGTGCGTGTGTGCGTGCGTGCGTGCGTGTGTGCGTGTGTGCGTGTGTGCGTGTGTGTGTGTGTGTGCATGTGTGCGTGTGTGCGTGTGTGTGTGTGTGTGTGTGTGTGTGTGTGTGCGTGTGTGTGTGTGTGTGTGTGTGTGTGCGTGTGTGTGTGTGTGTGTGTATGTGCGCACGCTTGGTTGTTTGTCCTGCGTCTCTGTGCTGCCCTGTGATGGACTGCTAACCTGTCCAGGGTGCTCACCTGGAGACCGCTGGAGATAGGCACCAGCCCCCCGTGACCCTGCGTGGATAAGCAGGTATAGAGGATGGATGGATGGATGGACCTAATGCTACGTCTCAAACCTGACTTCCTTTTTCCATCACTTCTTTGTTTCTTTACACTGCCCCAGTAACTTTCCACTCTATTACTTTACATCAAAGAGCAACTTTGTTTGTTCTTTCTCTCTCACCCTTGAACAACTGTGACAAACACTCTTTTCTGCAGCCTCTCATCATCATCGGATGCCATTATGAATTAACTTGGCAATAAATCAGCTGCTAAAACTGCTGTGGGCTTCCTGTAGGCCACACACACACACACACACACACACACACACACACACACACACACACACACACACACACACACACACACACACACACACACACACACACACACACACAGGAAGACAGGTGATTAATTTTTTTGTTGGTGAAAAAAAAACAGCCAGAGAATGAATGAATGAGGCGGGAGAGGGGAGAGAGATGGAAACACTGCGGACAAACATATTAGAGGGGGAGGAGTTGTTTAGGGCTTAAGATGAAAAATGACTA